AAATACCCAATATTTTCTTATTTGACTTGCTGATGGAATATTCCCACAGCACAGGAATGATCTTCTCACCTCATCAGCCTTAGTTATTACACTCGGTGGTTGTCTAGGGCTGGGGAGTCTGAGCAGGGTTTTATGACTCCACACTCCGTGACTCCGAGATTTTGGGTCTGATTTTTACAGGTTTTTTGTTTTATTTTATTTTATTTATTTTTTGCCTCCTGTATTCTCAGACTGTGCACTTTCTATTCTTAAAGCTTCTGGGATGCCTTTCTTTTTCTGTAACAATTCCTGCTTCTCTTTTTCTCTAGTATTTTGGTTGTAGAAATCATCTACTTGGAAGTGTTGATGCTCATGCTAACCCACTAGCTTAAACAATGTTGCACTGCCCCCCCTCCCCCCCCCCCCCAGCCATTCCTGCTTCCTGGGAGATGTCACATGCACAGATGGGGTCCAGGCTGCAGCTGCCTGGGCTTAAGCTCCCCTCTGTCACTCTCTGACAGTGAGACTCTGGGCAAGTCATTTCTCTTCTCTGCCTCAGTTTCCTGTGTGTGGAATGGAGTGAATCATAGTGTCTGCTTCATGGGTGCTTATGAGGACTGCAGGCAGAGAGCTGAGAACCTCGGGTGGGCCTCAGTAGGTCTGTTTGTTGTTACTGTTGGACGTTTCTGCCTGCCACTTTGAGCCTGAGTTTTGAGCTTGGGAGCAAGTGTTGCTTCTCTTGGTCCTAGGACAGCTTACCAAATAGTACGTTCAGCAGACTAAACAGGCAAAGCCAGCGCTTTTCTGATGTTTCCTCTTTGTTTCTCAGAAAAGAGGTTTCCCTGCTCTCTTCCTTGACAGTTATGAAAAAGGACAGCTGTTGGCTTAGAAATGATTTATCTTGTGAAGAGAAATAGCCTTGAAGAAAAACCCATTTTATAGCTCTATGCCATATATTCTGAACAGAATGTAGGGTGTGTGTATTGAAATGTGTTAAAAACAAATGCAAATGTGTTCAAGTGTGTTAGAGAAATAGTTACCATCTCCCCTCCAAAGCCCATGTCTGCGTTGGGGAAGGAGCAGAGATCATCTGGGAAAATGCGGAGTTTGCTCTTGGGTGTTCTCCAAGGGATCTTGGGGTTTCCCAGGCAACAGCCAGCACACTCCTTGACCCATAGAGTACTCCGTTTGGGGGACCTTAGCTGGTCTTAAAGCTTCCCTTGGTGCCAGTGTGCCAGTAGTGCCACTTAGAAGCACCAGGAGGTGGTCATAACTCCTTGGGTTACTTCAGGGGAACGAGGCCCGGGAGGTCATAGTGCCAGCATTATTCTGCACAGGTGATTCTCTATCACAGCAGCTGCCATCATTGTAAGAGTGATTTTATCTGGCGTATCGGGCATGTCTCCCAAGATGGTAAGCTACCCCAGATAGTTCTCTAAAGTCCAAAGTGCTCTTCCTAGTGAGGGTTTCTCAGCAGGAGGAGAGACAGTTGTTTAATGGGTAGGGAAACATCTCCCAGAGGTATCTGGGTGCTTGGCAAAAACCAGTTTGTGAGGTGTTTTAACCCTGATTAAAATGAAGCTGGAAAATAGTTAAAGTTTTTGTGGGTAGTGGAGAGGGGAAACAGACCCACCCTCTGTTGCCTGTGGGACCTTCCTGGTGCAGAAGGGACGCTCACCACGTGTTGGAAGGGAATATCGAGATGTGAGGATGTCTCCATCAGGGCAGATGGACTTCTGTAAGATTTTTTGTTTCATTTGTTTTAAAGATTTAATCAATGAAATTTCCCCCAAAAAGCAAAGTAGATGAGGAAGAAATAGAAGGAAAAAAGCCACATTTTCAAAGCACAGTGAAATGATCTTCTGGATCCATGTGCTGTAAGTTCCTGGGGCTGCTTTGCTACAGGCGGGGCTGGAATCCACAGCTGGTTCTCCCCCACTCCCCACCCCCACCCCTGGTGTCCCCACTCCCTGGATGAAGCTGCTGTAGGGGTGCAGAGAGAGTAGTGAGCACTGTTCAAACCATGGGGAGTCCCAGCCACAGTGCCTGCTCTCTACTGCTTCCCATGTGACTCTTACAAGCACCCGAACCTCCCTGAGGAGAGTCTCTGAGGCCATTTATGAACAATATGTCTGTGCCTTTGCTCCCGGAGATTCTTTTGTGGACAGTCTGCCAGACCTTACCTCTGTATTAGAACATTTTATCACTGCAGGTACAGGCCACATAGCCTCTCTGTGTCAAAGGGATATGGACTTGGGTTGCCCAGTTGTGAAGACCATAGTCATAGGCTCCTGGAGATCAACCCAGTCCCCACGGACACTCCCAGTCTCCACAGGCTTCCCAGCACCTTCACAGTCAACCTCCGGAGAGAGGGCACCATGCTGAAGTTGTGTGTCTTCAGTGCGTGTGCAGGGAATCCTTCGTAGATGGTGTGTGCCCTCTGGTGTCCAGTAGGTTTGTTAGTCTCTGTTGCGTATTTATGGCTCTAAGTGCATAAAACATCTTGTATGTGTAAAGCCAGCATGCCATGGGGAGTTCCTAAGAAGCAGATGGTCTGTTTTTAAAGTACACATGGTGTACTTGAGGAGAGAAAAGTACTTAGGAACAAACTGAGACCAAGAGATACCAAGGACTGCTGTCCTGTCTGTGATAAGGGCATCATATTATAGCTGCGTGGTCTTCATAACCAGAAGTTTCACTGTTAAGGACCACATGTGTCGAGTACCCATGAGCACCTCAGGCAGAGCCCAGGGTGGTAAATGCCTGTGTGCATCTGCTCATGCAGCCTTCCCCCTGCCGGACACCCCAGTCAGCCACAGTCCTCCGCGGGGCCAGGATGCGGCATCCTTGTCCTTGCCCGCTCTTCCACAACGTCATTATGGGGGACACAGTCCTGTTGTGGAAAGGGGAAACTGAGGCTTGGAGATCCCCCTGCCCTAGTCAGTGTTCAAACCAAGATTTGGTCCATGACAGTTTGATTTTGAAACCAGCACCTCTGATCCCTGTGCTACACTACCAGTAAGGGGTAGCTTCCGGGAACTAATTAGAATAGTGTTGTCACGCTACTCTAGTCTTCAGGTGTCAAGAGTGCCAGAGAAATAACTCTTACTACTTTGTCATGTCTGCCTGAGACTGGGGAAAGCCCCAGACCCTAAGGGTAGGACTCAGGTTAGAGTCTCTCAGACTGTCCCCGTGCCCACCACTCTCCCTGGGCCGCCAGCTGGCCCCTGCAGAGGCCAGTGTTGCCCCAGAGGAGCAACCTGCCACCACTGCCACCACCAGAGTCATTCTTGAAGCCCTCGCAGGAGGGGTGAAGTCACCGCGCTCCAGTGACAAGCCCAGCAAGACTCCTGAGGGCGCTCCCTGCAAGGGTGTTGGATTTTGTTTCTTCTTTTGAGAAAATCAGTGGCCCCATTAGCAACATGTTTTGAAGTTTAACTCAGTCATTACCAAGGTGCATTAAAATAAATTTATATGTTATATTACTGGCAATTAGAATATTCTGCCCCTGTCAATGAAGTCAGTGTTTAAAGAGCTATAGGCATGTTTTACCTTGGTATTGCTGTTTACTCGGGCATGTTAGTTAATGATTTGGCCTGCTGCTTTGGCGTGTGTATTTTCATTTTTCGAATGAATATGAATGCTCAAACTTGCGCATTGCATTAGATTCCCAGATGACACAACTCTTTAGAATCTTCCTTTTATTTAATACAGCAGAGGCCTGAAATCTAACTTAGGATGTAATATAATATAGCTCATATCCTTGCCCGTGGGTACTAAGTGATACTTAACGTTAAATTTCTAAAATAGAGCCTGTGTGTTCCAGTGTGTTCCAGTGTGTAACAGTGTGTAATAGTGCTTATTATGTCAGAGTCCCTCTAAATCCTTCCTGCTGCCATTCATCTTCTCCACTGGAAGCTCTTAGTTGCTGTCTTGGTGGTGGCGGCTGCCAGTTTACTGGATCCCATTGATAGTAAGAGTGCATTGATTAAGGATGCATCGAGTGCCAGAAGCGAGGCTAGACTGTCTACACACATCTTCACTTAGCTCTTACCACACATCTGCAAGAGCTGTGGCACCACTCTCATTTTATAGGTGAAAGAACGGAGGTAAGTAATTTGAACGGGGCATCTCCACACCCTGGTTGTGAGAAGCAAAGCCTGGCCCTTTCTGCTCTACCTGATGGCATTAAGCCTAGACTTCTCTTTTCTAGATCAGCTAATTGCTCAGGCTTCTAAGAACTCCTAGGTCTGTGAGCATGTCCCTTTGACTTTCTAGCCTGTTTTACCTGAACAGCTCACCATCACACAGAGCTCGAGAACCTCGTGTAGGCTAGTGGATGGTTGGTTGGCTTAATAACAGCTTTATTGAGATACAGTTCATGTTATCATAAAATTTACCCTTTTAAAGTATACATTTTGGTGGTTTTTAGTATATTTGCAAGATTGCACATCCATCACCACAGTCAGTTTTGGAACATTTTCATCACCCCTCCAGACACCCATTAGATCCCTCCCCATTCCTTCGTCCCCTCAACCCTGGCACCCACTAATCACCTTACCATCTCTATGAGTTTGCCTTTTCTGGACATTTTCTACAGTCAGAGTCATATAACATGTGGTCCTTTGTGTCTGGCTTCTGTCACCTGACAATGTTTTCAGGGTTCATCCATGTTGGAGCAGGTGTCAGTGTTTCGTTCCTTTTGACGGCTGAATCATATTCCATTCTGCAGACAGACCACATTTTGTTGATCCATTCATCCATTGATGGACATTCGAGTTGTTTCTACTTTCTGGCTGTTACGGACAGCGCTGTTCTGAGTATCCATGTGCCAGTCTTTGTGTCAACGTGTTTCTGTTTTCACTTTGCCAGTTTGTTTTTAACTCCTGTTTGAGGGGCTCAGGAACCCTTCCACTTGGTTTCCACCATTCAGCATGACAGCCGGTTGCAATGATAGACTTGAATTATGGGTTGTGGCATGCTTTCTGGGTGTGTTCCGATGGTGTATGTTTTTCTTGTAGACCTGTCCTTCATGCGGCATCATGTTGGCCCCCAAATCGGAAGCTGGTGTAGAAGGAGGAGCGGTCCAAAATGGCTGTCAAGAGGAACATAAAAACAGCACTAAGGTAACAAGCTCTTGGCTGTTGTTCCTGTTGGTTCCTCCCCTGGTGCCTCCACCTGAGGTGACATTCCTGTCTTGTGGGCTTCTCAGTTCCAAGAATATCCCCTTAGGTGACACCATGCCACACCTTCTCATCCTGAGGGTTTTGAATAGATCAGTAATAGACCAGTGAAGATCAGGATGGAGAGTCAGGTCTGACCCTTGTGAAGTAGAATAATCACATGCCCAGCTGGATGGGACTCCCTTCATGGGCAGTAAGAGCTTAAAGCCACGTGGACTGCAGTAGCTAGGGGAGATCTCTGGGGCTGGAACACGCGGTACAGTGTGGATGTGCAGAGAGAAGAGGGGGCTCTGCCGGAGCAAAGGTGCATTGTGAAGAGAGGCTTGGGGTCGGGGTCAGCAGCAAGGACTGCCAGAGAAGTCTCACCTGGAGACAGAGCCAGGGCTGCAGTGGAAAGCAGAACAAAGACCAAATCTGAGAGCCCTTCCAAGAATGCTTATAAAGGCTGACTCTCCAGGGAGGCCTATGTCTGTTATCCTCCATCCTTGTGTCGCCTGCCACCTTCCCCTGGATGGATCCTCGTACCACATCCATCGCCCTAGCCCCCCATACCTTCCCCCATGGCCCTCTGCGATGCTGATTCTGTGGTTAGCAAGCTCCAAGAGCCTCAATCTTCTGTGACCTTCTCTCTACCTGCTTACTGGCTCTTCCCACGATATCACCTTCCAGGCTTCCTCAGCCCCTGGAGGTGCAGTCTGATGAAATAAGGGGATAGGGAGAAGCAAATGGGTGGAGAGGTTGAGTGTCAGGTTAGAACAGAGATGTGAAGGTGCTGGTCAAGCGTGCAGTGGGGCCCCAGCGTGGCAGAGGTCGGGCTGGAATAGCACTGTTGCATGCTTGCCCTGCAGCCTCTGTGTCTGCCTCCCACTACCCTTGTCTTGAGGCAGGCTCCTGGAGCACCGAATTCCAAAACTCAGAACGGACTTCTGAGCCCTCCCCAAGAGGAGAAGCTCACCAACAGTCAGACCTCCCTGTGTGAGATCTTACAGGAAAAGGGAAGGTGGGCAGGAGTGAGCTTGGACCAGTCAGCTCTCCTTCCGCTGAGATTCAAGAACATCCGGGAGAAAACAGATGCTCATTTTGTTGATGTTATCAAAGAAGACAGGTAAGAGTCAACCATTCCCAATGAAAGTAAAGATTTGTAGGTAGGAGTCTCTCCCTTTTTCTGAGTCACCTTATCCCCATGTGTTTGCTCCTCCATTGTCAGTATTTTACTTTATTTTGAAGTAATTTGAAACTTAAAGAAAATTTGCATGAATAATACAAAGAACTCTCATTTTACCCTTTGCCTGATTTACCAACTTTTAACATTTTACTATTTTGTTTTATTCTCTCTCTCTCTTTCTTTATGAAATTTATGTGTTTTTTTTTTCTGGACCACTTAATAGTAAGTTGGATATATCATGCCCTTTGCCCCTAAAACACTTTATTTCCTAAATTACAAAGATGTTCTTTTACATAATCATGTTTACCAAATTCAGGAAATCTAACATGGATGCATATTTGATCTAATCTACGGTTCATATTCCAGTTTGGCTAGAAATTTTGGCCACAGAAATGACATCAGGTATCCCATCCAGAGGCACATGGTGCCCATTTGTCTTCCATCAGAGATAGTAATTTTGAGCAACCAGGCGAGTGTTGTTGACCTCTCCAATCTGTGGTTATTTTCTCCTTGTGACTAGTAAGCAATACTTTTAAGATGTATTAAGATGCATGTATTCCATTCCTCAGCAAACTTCCCTAGATTTCCTCTCCATCGTGGTTCTTGCTTAAAACAGCCTTTACTATGATGGTTCAGAATGTCAGTTCTCCTACTTGAGCACCATCTGCACATTGGCAGTTGGAGCACATTGACATGGCTCCAACATTTTTTAAAAATTTAATTTATTTAATTTATTTTTATTTTTTATTTTTTTATTTTTAAAGATTTTTTTAATTTATTCATTTGAGAGAGAATGAAAGAGAGCGCACATGAGAGGGGGGAGGGTCAGAGGAAGAAGCAGACTCCCTGCCGAGCAGGGAGCCCGATGTGGGACTCCATCCAGGGACTCCAGGATCATGACCTGAGCTGAAGGCAGTCGCTTAACCAACTGAGCCACCCAGGTGCCCTAACTTATTTATTTTAGAGAGAGGGGGCAGGGGAGGGGCCGAGGGAGAGAGAGAATCTCAAGCAGACTCCCTGCTGGGCAGGGAGCCCGACGCAGGACTCGATCTCATGACCATGAGATCACAACATGAGCCAAAACCAAGAGTAGGGTGCTTAACTGAGCCACCCAGCAGCCCCTCCATCAGTTGTTTTTCATAGTTTCTGGCACCCTGTTCTAGCACAACAGGATATTCCAGGCTCGTCTTATATCCTCCCTAGCCCTAGTAAGGCATCAGCCATTTGTCCAAAGAGCCTTGGCTCCTTTTAGTGAAGAATGGTATTTAGAAATGTTCGTTGTTAATGTCTGACTTAATGTTATGTAGCCAAAGACATATTCTAAATGATTTCAGTCCTTTTACATTTATTGATACTTGTTTTATGGTCTCACATGTGTCTGTTTTCATGAACATACCACATGCACTTGGAAAGAATATATTCTACATTTGTAGGATGTTGCAATCCATAAACACAATAGGTCCAGGCAGTTTGCAGTATTAGATCATCTGTCTCTTTACTTTTTGTCTGTTGCTCTATCAGTGTTAAGAGAGGGATTTAAAAATCTTTCACTGTAATTGTGGGTTTGTCTGCATCTCTTTTTAGTCCTGATGGTTTTTGTTTCAAGTATTTTCATGCTCTTTTTTTGAGGTACATACACGTTTATGAGTGTTATAAATTCCTGGTGAATTGGTCCTTTTGTCATTTTGAAGTATCCCTCTTTATTCCTGGTAATACTCTGTCATGAAAGCCACTTTATCTGATACTAATATAGTAACTCTAGCCTTCTTATTCTTACTCTTTGCCTGGTATATCAATTTCCATTAAAAAAAAATTTCAACCTGTATCTTTATATTTGAAGTGTGTCTCTTATGAGTCTTGCTTTTTTAATCATTCTAAAAGTCCCTGCCATTTAATTCCATTTTAATATATTTACTGGCTTTTTAGCCATACCTCTTTGCATTATTATTATTTTATTTATTTATTTATTTATTTATTGGTACTTGCTCCAGGACTTACAGATAGGCATCCTTGAATTTTTTTATAGTCTTCTTATGGTTAACATTGTATCATTTCACTTTATTTTTTTTTAAGTTAACTTATTTATTTATGTAAGTAATCTCTACACCCAGCGTGGGGCCTGAACTCATGACTCCGAGGTCAAGATTCACATGCTCTTCTGACTGAACCAGCCAAGCGAACCTGTATTATTTCACTTGAAATGTAGACATCTTGTAGCTGTGTAGATCCATTACTTTCTTCCCACCCCTTATGCTATAGTTTTCATATGTGTTACATCTGCATACATTGTGACCTTGACCTCTAATACCACCCTCTTGGTAATTTCAGATTGGTCTCCATTGATTGCTCTTCTGTTGAGTTGAATCATATTTTCCTGTTCCTTTGTATGTTGTATAAATTTGGATTGTGTTGTGCTTAGAAACTGGATTCTGTTATATTGCTCCGAAGAATGTCAATATTTTGTTTCTTTGTTTCTTTGTTTTAGCATGCAGTTAACTTACCTACACTCAGACAGCAAACTTTGTCTCCCCTGGGGTAGGAGGCTGCTGCTTTTTTTTTTTTTAATAATTTTTTTTTATTGTTATGTTAACCACCATACATTACATCATTAGTTCTTGATGCAGTGTTCCATGATTCATTGTTTGTGCATAACACCCAGTGCTCCATGCAGAATGTGCCCTCTTTAATACCCGTCACCAGGCTAACCCATCCCCCCACCCCCCTCCCCTCTAGAAACCTCAGTTTGTTTTTCAGAGTCCATTGTCTCTAATGGTTCGTCTCCCCCTCTGACTTACTCCCCTTCATTCTTCCCCTCCTGCTATCTTCTTCTTCTTCTTCTTTTTTTTCTTAACATATATTGCATTATTTGTTTCAGAAGTACAGATCCGTGATTCATCAGTCTTGTACAATTCACAGTGCTCACCATAGCACATACCCTCCCCGATGTCTGTCACCCAGCCACCCAATCCCTCCCACCCCCCACCACTCCAGCAACCCTCAGTTTGTTTCCTGAGATTAAGAATTCCTCATATCAGTGAGGTCATATGATACATGACTTTCTCTGACTGACTTATTTCACTCAGTATAATACCCTCCAGTTCCATCCATGTCGTTGCAAATGGCAAGATCTCATTCCTTTTGATGACTGCATAATATTCCATTGTGTATATATACCACATCTTCTTTATCCATTCATCTGTCGATGGACATCTTGGCTGCTGCTCTTTTTTAAGCCATAATTAGGCTGCTTCAAGTCTGCTGTGCACATGCAGATTTTAAAGGTCAGCTAGAGATCTGAGCAGAGCTCGTATGACGAATTTGGGGATGCCCCTTCTCTGTTTTTTTTTTTTTTCTTTCTCTGGGATTTTCACCCTCATTTTCCAACTGTGGGCACCCCAAACATTATTTTCTGAATTTCCAAGCCAGCGAGATTATGGCTTTTCCATCTGAGTTTTAGCTGTCCTGCACATGGTGCTGACGAATGGCTGTCTTCAGGCAAAAAAGAAAAACAGTAAAACATGGGAAATTAAGCTGGTGCTATTCCATTCCTCCAGGTGTGACTCTCCTCCATTTCCCACCTGCTTTGGTCAGTCTCCACTACCTTCCAGGAGTCATTTTTATATCTTGTCCAGAGTTTATTGTCGTCTGAGAGAGGATTGGCCCAAAAGGAGCTAATCTCTGTTCCCAGAAAAGGAACTTGCTAATATTAATTTCAGAGGAGCAGCACGGCATCTAGCTACATGTGGCCACTGTACATCCTCTGTACAGTTGCTGTGCCGGTTTTCCCTCTGTCCACACTTGCTGGGTGGAAGGGAAGATGGGGGTCTGCATCCGGGGATGGAGTTTTCTCTCTTCTGAGTCTGAGAGCATAGTGAGGTATGGCACACTTGTTACAGAGAGAGAGTCCACTGGGCTGCAGGGACCCTGTATGTCAGGCACATGGGAGCAAGTTTATCTATTTATCTGATGTAATTACGGATGTTACCGTGTGAGGGAGAGAGACTACACTCCATGGCTGTATTTGCCTTCTGAAATCATGTTAACACTCTCTTAAATTTCCTGCAGTGTACAAAGGATATTACTATTTGCTAGCAACCATAAAAGAATGAAAGAATCACAGAAAGCAGGTTTCATGTCTCTGCTATTAAAATCGTTGAGTGTTATTTTTCAGGTTTCACACGCAGTCTGCATATGTGACAATAGCACTCCAATTACGCTAACTCTAAACAGTTTCCTGATAACAACCTGTCAGCTCTGATGGTGGTAATTACTGTTAGTGCTCTGAACGACAGGACAGCCAGCTCTGAGTTAGGTTTTCATTGGAAGCCTTGGAATCAGCCTAAGTCCTCTCGGTACAGGCATGTCTGGTCCTCCAGAAGTGGTGGTTTCCTAGCATGGCAGAGCTGCCTTCTTCTCTGGACACTGGAAGATGTTTCCAGAAGCAGGGTGCTCATGATGTGTGCTATAATGATGGCAAATGGTCATGGTTTAGTGGAGCGAAAGCATAACATGTATTTTGAAAACACAAAGCACTTTCCAGACATATGTTCTAAAGGAGGGGTCAAGCATTATCTGTCACATAGTGACTCTCAGACATGGTTTTTGTGACACGCTTTGGGAATGGTGTTTGGGTAGCTGCTGATTAGATAGATAGATAGATAGATGGGATAGATAGATAGATAGTTAGATAATCAGTCTGCCTATAGAGTAAGTGCAATGCCTCTGCACCGTGTTGATCAACTGCGTTTCATTTCTCCTAGCCTGATGAAAGATTATTTTTTCAAGCCACCTATCAATCAGTTCAGCTTGAACTTCCTGGATCAGGAGCTAGAGCGATCCTACAGGACCAGCTATCAAGAAGAGGTGTGTTTCCCCTTCTACTTCTACTGAAGAAATTTGTTGTTTGCACCGGATAGTTCACTACCAGCTTTGTGCTTTGGCAGCTTTTTCTTTCCCCCCTTGAGTGATAGGAAAATGAAGGCTAGTACTGATTCCCCACAATCTGTAAGCCCCAAACTGCATCTGCATGTGAATTTATCCACACTGGGAGAAAACCCCCAATCTTTCTGTGCTCCTTTGTCTAGTGTCACTGGCATGTCATTTCCAGGCCCCTTTGCTCCGTGCTGGCCTTGTGCTCATTTTCTCCCTCCTTCCTGGTGACTCCCTAACACTACATGCATGGCTCTTTGTTACGTTTACCACACCACCCTGACATTTCAGATCTTGTCCGTCCCCCACGTTAGGCTGTGAGCTCCCAGAGGACAATGTTTCATGTCTGCCCCCAGCACCCCGCACAGAGCCAGGCCCAGAGCATGCTCTTGAGTGAAGGCATGAGCATCTCTTACTATTGTTGACCCGCCCACGCTTTCATCTGCTCTTGCTTCAATCCCTGCCTGATACTTCTGTCATGAAGCCAGCTGTCACACAGCCTAAACCTGGGACCCAGCCATTCAGTGGAAGCTTCCACAGAATGGCTTTTGTGCAACGGCCTTTACAGATGCAGAGCCCATAACCCAGATTTCAGGCTCAGTATGTAATGTGTTTGTGAGAACTCACTGGTTTGTAATAGCTTGCTGTGTGACCTTGCGCAAGTTTCCTAACTGCTCTGTGCCTTAGTTTCCTCACTGTTAAATGGGATGGGAGAGATGGCCCACCTGAAGCACTTACCACCTGTACTTGGTCCAGGGTGGGCAAGTGCTCAACAAATGTTGGCATGTTTTCCATGGAAATCCTACTCTGTGGCCACCTGTTGCAGCTTCCACTCATGCCTCCCACCTCCTCTCCTACCCCAAACAGGTTATAAAGAATTCTCCTGTGAAGACTTTTGCCAGTGCCACCTTCAGCTCCCTCCTGGATGTGTTTCTGTCAACAACAGTGTTTCTGATTCTCTCCATCACCTGCTTCCTGAAGTACGGGGCTGCCACCATGCCTCCCCCACCTGCCGCCTTGGCAGTCTTCAGCGCCGCCCTGCTGCTGGAGGTGCTGTCCCTCGTGGTCTCCATCAGGTAAAGGCCCACCTGCCCGACTCTGCTCCAGCTTTTAGCGTTTAGCTCCCTCTGCTGGCTCACCAGTTAATGGCTGCACAGTCTGGCGGCAGCCCCGCTGGCTCGCCTCCTGACCCCAGAGACCTCTGCAAGCTCATTTCAGGTGACCAGTCCTCTTTCCTTCCCTCCCCCAGCTCTGCTGCTCAGCATCCTCCCTCATAGACCCCAGTCCTTGGCACAGGTGGGCACTTTCTTTACCAGAGGTCAGTGTCCTCTGCAGCCCCTCAGCTGCCAGCTCCCCACTCAGAGACTTAAAAAGAACAAGTGGGGAGAGAGGGAATGAGAAAGGGAAGAGAAACAGAACAGAAGCATACCGGAGCATACGATGGGCGGCCGCCTGCGGGTCAGCAGGTGCCTCTTGTAGATGTGCGAGCGAGACTCGAAATCCTTAGAAGGATTGTGGGTATCTGTTTCCCCGAGCTTGGGTCAGGCAGTGGTTTCTTAGATATGACATGAAAAGCACGAGCAGCCAGAGAAAGAAGAGATAAGTTGGACCTCATCAAAATGTAAAGCTTCTCTGTTCTGAAGAGCACCCATCCCTTCTCATGCCAGAGTGAGAGGGAGCCTGCAGGACAGGGGAGTCTATGCAGACAGCATCTGTGGTGAGATCTGATACCTAGAATGTAAGCTTAGTAATGAAAAGACAAGCAACCCATTTAGAAATGGACAGAAGGTCTGAATAGACAGCAGGGACCCCTGAGGGAAGGCAGGCCCTCAAGATCCACTCAGCCTAATGTTAGCGTTCAGCCCATCACCTGGGGAAACTCACAGCCGCTCTGAGTACTTCTGATGAAGTGTGAATGCATAGGGTACTCCATTCACATGCACACCCCCCCATCTGCCTCGTGGGCACCATGCCCACCTCCTCTGTCCAGCCCTGTCCATCTCAACAGGAGTCCTGCTGGTGATTGCCTCCAGAAGCTGGGGGTGAAACAGAAATGGGAAGAAGGGCCCTGACCTTGAGTTTCTGCCCCCTCTTCCCCAACACCCCAGGACAGGAAACAATAGCCCTGGGTCTGCCCTGTGGCTTCTGAACGCTAGTCCCCCCCTCTCCCTACCCCACTTTGAAGTATATGGGCTGGATTGCCCTCCCCCCCATACTCCCCCTCTCCTCATCCCCCCACCCCTGCCTCTACCCCTGTGGCTCTGGGCAGAGGGTCTTTTCTGGCTGCTAGGGGCTTCAAACTTGACCCCTGTACCTCCTCCAGGTTGAGATAACTGCAGAGTGCATCCTCACTGTCTACCCAAATTCCCCACCAGGATTGAGCTGTGTGGTGCATAGCAAGGGACTCCTTGTAACACAGCCCTCCCTATGGGCCTGCCCCTTGAGTCTTGGCTTTGCACCCCTTGCTGAGCTGCCTGGGACCCACTCTCAAAACAGCTCTGCTTCTGGGGAATCCAAACCAAGGTATCCTCGGGCCCCTAGTTTGTCTTTTCCTTTTTAAAAACAGCTTTATTGTGGTATAATCCAAATATAAGAAATTCACTCATGTAAACGTACAATTCGGCGATTCTTAGTAAACCTACAGAGTTGTGTGAACATCACCATATAATTTTAGAACACTTCAAAGAAAACCTGGCACCCATGTGCAGTGAGTCCCCTCACACCCACGCTCCCTGCCCTGGGTCCAGGTTACTGTCTGACACAGGGCCTCCAGCTAGATAAGGCTCCAGCTCTCTTAGAGGCTAGCATTGTCTCCATTCCTTTTTCAAAAGCCCTTTACACCACTTTTTCCTGTTCCTTTGGACCCACTTCTACAGAATTTGGGCTGTCCCTGGTGTGGAGACTGCAGAGGGCTGTAGGCCACAGAGATGCCAGGCTGGCTGCACCCAGGTGTGTGCTGGGCCTGTCACACCCACATGCTTGGCCAGCGCCTTCCAAATGAGGTGGCCGCTGCTCCTGAATGACCGCTGGTGTGACTTTAAAAGTTCACTTTACCCAAATCATCAAAGCCTGGGAGGCAGGGCTGGGAATGTGATGGAGTTCCCTCTCACCACACAGAGGGGCGTATTTAGGATCCCAGGTCTACAGGAATCTGTGCTTCAGAGTATATGGGAGCCCCAGGGAGGCTGGTTCTGCAGCTGCTTCGGGGTACAGCCCCAGGCCTGGCACCTCCTCCAGAGGCCTTCATGCATCTTGACTTGCAGCCCATCCCTTCACTCCCCTCATTTTGTGCTGAACCCAGGCAGGCGTGAGAACAGTGGGTCTCATCCTCAGAGCTCTGCTGTCCTGGGGACCTTCGTGGGGGCCTCCCAGTCCTGCCTTCTCCCTGTTGGAACTTGGCTTCCTCTGTCTCCTCATGGGGCTTATGTATTCTGCCTTTGAGCATATTTGTGGTTATTCTTGGAAATATTCCCAGGACTCCATTATCTGTTAAGTGTCAGGAGGCCAGAACCATCCAGGCCCTAAAAGGGTCAGACGGCCTGGCTCCATGTGGAAAATGGCCGAGATTCGTGGTTTTCTCGTGGAGAAATGCATTTGTAGCCAGTGGTTGCTGCATGGTGGGTGTCCAGGACAGAAGGTGCAGGCACCTGGGTGTGTTGCAAAAACCCTTGAGGGGATCTTGTGCCGTTAAAGCTCAGTGGGGTTTCCTGGCACTTCCAGAGGTGAGGAGAGCGTGCCTGTCCCTTCTCCCCTCCCTGGCAGCCTAGCTTCAGAGCGGGTCTGTGTGCGTGGGTCTCCCTGCCAAGCTGAATCCCAGTGCCCCTTCTTCCATCTCCTGCTGCTGGCATGCGGGTGCTGGCCCCTGCTGGCCCCAGGGCCCCTCACTTAGCCAGACTGTTCTTCCTTCTGAACAGCAGTTCTCAGCCCCATGCACTTGCTCCCCCTTCTTTATGAAAATTATTTTGTGATGTCCACATCACTTATCTGAAACACAGCCTACTTATACACCCAGTTTCAGAAGGAGTCGATGAAATGCTGTCACTCCAATATGAAAGAAAGAGCAAGGGAGCCATTTAAAAGAAAATATGTAGTGCTTCACCTCGTTCTTGCCAGGACACCACGACCTGAGAAGTCATAAGAGTCCTCAGCTGTGTCCTCATGCACACGGTCACACAGATGTGATGGCTCCAGATGCGGACCACTAGCAGCGTGCGGTCTTGGTGGCACAAACACTGGGTTGCCGCCTGTGACATGATTTCTGAAATGCTGAGTGAGCCTTGCTGAGGCCCCAAAGCAAAGGGCACTTCGCACAGTGGTTCATTCCTGGAAGATCCGCATGTGTTAGCAGCACAGAGACACAATGAGGCTCTGGGCTGAGGTCATTGTCAGCAGGGCTCTCTCTGTGGGTGTCTGGGGGGCATGAGGCAGTCGTGTGGGATGCAGGGCAGAGCCACACTGTGTGTCTCAGTGCGCCCCCCCATCCCTGGCTCCTGCCCACCAGATGCCGGCCACATCCCTCAGTGAGAATTTGGGCGCTGCCAAATTCCCAGACACCTCCAAAGTGCTCTAGCAGCCTGTGACAGCAAGTGGTGACCTCTGAGGGGGCCAGTTAACATTTGTGTGCCCTATTCTTACATCTACTTTGAGACCCACAGAAGCTCATGCTTGGCTTTGTACAAGCACGTGTTATCAGTATGCAACAGATGACCTTAAAATAAGGTATGATGAGCTGAGCAAGTCCAATTTACTTGCTGCCGACCACAAGTGAGGGGGGGCGGGGGCTCCGCCTGCTCCCATGTGCACGGTAGCCGCATAGGTGAGAGTCAGTGGGTCTCCCGTCCTCATCTTCCCCAGCGGGCTGACCCGCCCACAGACACACCATTTCTCCTTTCTCCCCTCCTCATCCCAGGATGGTGTTTTTCCTGGAGGATGTGATGGCTTGTACGAAGCGCCTGCTGGAGTGGATAGCCGGCTGGCTCCCGCGCCATTTCATTGGAGCCATCCTGGTGTCACTCCCTGCTCTTGCAGTCTATTCACACATCACCTCTGAATTTGAGACAAACATACACGTAAGTAAAGGCCCAGTGACTTTGTGTCTGGACTTTTGGGGACTCCCTTATCTTTTTTGTTTGTTTTAATAAGCCTGATGACTTGGGACAGCAATTTAAATATAGGCCTCTAAAGAGGTACAAAGTCTTTGTCATCACCTTGAGCTTGTCTTAAAAGACTTGCCTGGGACAGAGGAGCAGGCAGGGAGGGCAGCACGCGGCCTGTCTAGATGCTCGAGCCTGTCACTCGCCACGGCCAGGGAGAGGTGGGTACAATGCTGCCCTGCCCAGCTCACACGTGACCTCTCCAACCTCACCTGCTGCTCACCGAGCTCCAAATCCGTTATTTTCCTATGCATTTTACAAAGCAGCATCTGTCCCACGTTCCCAGATACAATACAGTGCTCACCTGTCAAACTGGCACAGTTAGGTGACTGGCCTCTGGGCCGGCTGCTGTCGATCAGGGAAGGAGCTTCCGAGTTAAACCCCATGAAGACTGAATTAATGTCCTTGTGGAAAGTTCTATTTTTGGTGAAAGTGTAACATGAGCTGCCAGGCGGGCTGACTGCATTTGATACTTTAACACCAAATTACATTTCCGTTGGCATGTAGCAGCATGCCTGAAGGAAGGCTTTGTAGAGGTAACCACCTACACGGTGGCGGTGTTGAGACGGGTGGCCTACCTTCCCTTTCCTCCAGAATGATGTGTGCAGTTTCCACACATCTGGAGGAGAGTTTTAGTGCCAGTGCGAGCTTGCAGCTTAAAGCTCGGGGTGATTAACCCAACGATTTTATGATCTGTCCCTGAAACTGCCAGATATTTTGCGATATTTGTGTTATGTTATATTTTTATATCGAAAGATAAGTGAGTGAATCCTTTGATGTCAGTGTGCTCAGCTGGAAGTGAGGCAAGGGGCCCACACAGCGAGGGCGGGATGGGTCACTAACTGTGCCGGCCCCTCGTTGCAGTTCACCGTGTTCATGGGCTCAGCCGTCCTGATCACTGTCGTGCACTACTGTAACTTCTGCCAGCTCAGCTCCTGGATGAGGTCCTCCTTAGCCACCATCGCTGGGGCTGGGCCCCTGCTGCTGCTCTATGTCTCCCTGTGCCCTGACAGGTAGGCCTGCCTCTGTGCTCTGCGTCTGGTGCCCTCGCCGGCTGGGGCACTTTTCCCGACCTCGCTTCTCTCACATCCACGCTGATGCCCTCTCCCTCTGCTCTACCAGATATTGTCAAAACATGACGCACCTTCCAACATACACAATGTCAACATCCTAATGAAATGTCCAGACACTAATATGCAAAAGAAAGAAAAAGAAAATAATTCTTCATGAAATACTCTGTATTTGCATATAGACATCCTCGAGTGATCCCCGCCTGGAAGACGTAGTGCAGTAGACACGTGCTTGAACTTATGATGGAGAAGTAGGACCAGAAGCCATTTCATACGAGATGATCAAGAAAGTGAAGGAGTAGAGGTATAGGGAGACACAAGAATGCAAAGAGGAAGTTGGTTCTAACCTCACTTGAGTAAGGGTAATATACCCAGTTTGCAGGTTGCTGAAGGAAAGGAAGTGAAGAGGTAAGGTGCTCTTGCAAATGGCCTGGGCCTTATTTATAAATACTGACTCACTGTTGTGACATGTGTGTCATGACGTGAAACGGAATAATGACCAGTCACTGGAAATATATCTTTTATCTTGAAGTCTTTCCACATAATGAAGAACACTTTTAGTCTCTGGTATTCAAATGGCCTTCACAACCTTATCACTGGTAGATGCCAAGGAATAGATAGGATGGCGTGGGAAAAGAAAGGATCTGTGGGAAAGACCTGGAGGGACAGGAGCGGTTCTTACCGTCGTGCTACAAAGAATGAAAATATATAGGATGGCGATGATACGTGCTATATATAAAATATCCTATATTCATGAAATCCAGTAAGAGCCCTGTCTTTCATGTGCCCTACTAATTGAATAATGTTTGATTCTTAGTCGTTAAAAACAGGTCTCAAATTGATTGTTGCACATTTGCAACTGGTTTTGCAGCAATCAGCCTTTTTCAACTAAATATGTAGTTGGAAATACAGTGATACATAAGAGAGCAGAATGTTCACAGTGAGTGGTTCAGAAAGTTTAGGATAATGTCTTAAAATCATTAAGCTTCTGTTTCTGTAACAAACTTCTCCTAAATATTGGACTGCTTATAAAAACATTTTACTATTAACATATATTTAAAAACTGCTTTTTTATAATTACAGTGGGTCTAGGCTAGCAAGATATTTCAGAGTTACACAGGGCATTCCTTCATTGTGCCTTGCAGGACATCTAACATTCCTGGCTCCTCAAATTATTATGACAACCAGAAGGAGCCCCAACATTTCCAAAATGCCCCCTAGGAATGGCATTACTGTTGCTGAGAACCATTGCTTTAATAAGTTCAGAAGTAGAAGATGATCCAGTTTGTTGCAATATCACACATGAAACCACCGTAGTGTATCTTTGGGTATTACCAAAGCGGTGGTCGGTAATGGACAAAGTAAGCATCCTTCTCCTCAGTTAGATTTAATAAAATATGACGACATGAAAGGCACTCAAGTATTCTGCAAATTAAGATCAAAAGGGAATTTTAAGCAGAACTGTCTTTCAGCATTTGAAAGGAAACTTTAATGAATAGTTAAATTACTTTAAGCAGAACAAAGAGTACATTTCCCTTTCTGAAGGTATGGCCATCTGGAATTAGGGTCATTATGAAGCTCTTTCCCAAGAGCATGGGATTCATCAGTCTGCCTTTTAACCTTTTAAAAGAACCATGATAAATACCCCCCAGCCACTTGCATTGTCATTCATTCACTGGTGTGGGGCTTTTCCACTTGGATCTGGAGGGACCAGAGTGATGAGGGACCAACTCCATCACCTTTGTCCAGAATTCAAAGAGCAGATCTTGGGCTGCAGCTGAATCTCCCCTTCACCTAGTACTTCTCCCTACTTGCAGAATCCTTTGAGCCCATCCACCCGGCCATCAGCACTGAGCCTCACAGGGTAGGAAGCATGGGGAGTGGTGAACACAAATACAGACAGGCCCCCTGTGTAGGGGAGGGGATTTCTGAGAACCATGCCAGCATCGCAGCGGGCACGGACGTAAAAAGGGCCGTGCACACGTGAAGAGGGACATTGTCATAGTCGTGCCTAGGCAGGGAGAGAAGATGACATACGGCCTCAGAATGTGTCTGTGCTGTAGCTCTTGCTTTCTTTCCTTCCCCGTGAAGTCATCTAACACCCCCTGTGATGATAAAAGCCACTCTAAGCCATCCCCTGGCCTCTGCTGCCCTTGGGGAACTGCTTGCAGAAGCTTTGTAAGGTCCCCCTTTGCAGTGAGTGGGCAGGCAGATCTAGCGGACCAGTAAGTGTGGGGTACGAGACTGATTTACCGGCCTGGGGGGATGCTGGGTGCAACAGGACCGCAGAAGAAGCTGTGAGGGGTGTGGAAAGGGTACCACATGTTGCAGGTCCTGCCCTGACACCAAGAGAGAGTTCTTTATTGTATGTGGTTTCCAAGCCCCAGGATGGGGATTTGATTGCTTTGGGCACACCGGGAGCAAAGTCTGCCTTCTCAGGTCAGCCACCGTCTCCAGCAGTTCCTTTCTAAATCAGTCCTTTGTCACTGGGCATCGCTTTTGATCATGACTGGTTTCTAGCCTGTGGGACCGCGTGGAAAAGTCCTTACGTCACACGAGTGCCTTAGAGACTTCTTGTTTGGTTTTGCTCTTTGGCGATGGTACCTCCCTACCTGATGTGAAGGCCTGTCAGCTGCGTCACTGTCTCTGCCTGCTGTGATTTTTAGTTCACACATGATATCAAATTATAATAAAGAATCAACTATCCTTATTGTCTGACTTCATCTCCACATTAAAAAAAGGGAAATTGTTTTTTAAACTCTTCTCTGTTTCACTTTTATAACGCCTTCTTTGCTTTTTATAATAATATTTTTCTGCATTTTAATTTCAGTTCCATAGTAATTTCACACCTTGATGCAGGACGGAATTTCAGGTGAGCTTTTAACATCGTTCTTGTGTCAGAACAAACGAGGGTAACTGTATGAGTACTGTGTCTTTCTCAGCTTCCTAAAAAGCAGTCGTATCTTGAAGAAAAAGAATTATATGTAATTCTTAAAGGAATAAGTGGAAAATACCTACTTGTTGAAATATCAGATCATAGTTGTAATATCTTATTGAGAAAACGAATGATTGTTAAGAACATACTAGATTTGGCTTAATTTTACATGAGATGTCAGCATGTTACACAGGAAATCTCTCAAGTCTAAGAAAGTACTTATTTTAATTCCCTAAAATATTTTGAAGTTACTAACTAGAAATTTGAAATAATAAATGCTAGACCCTTGCTTTACTATAAACATCAAACTAAAATCTGTATCAACTTAGAGTCAGAAATAAACATTAAATTATATAGGGCGCCTGGGTGGCTCAGATGGTTAAGCATCTGCCTTCAGCTCAGGTCATGATCCCAGGGTCCTGGGATCAAGTCCTGCATTGGGCTCCCTGCTCCTTGGGAGCCTCCTTCTCCCTTTGCTTCTCTCTCTCTCTTTCTCCCTCTCTCTCCTCCTCTGTCTCTCATGAATAAATAAATAAAATCTTTAAAAAAAAACATTAAATTATATAAAACTATATAAAAATCTAGAAAAACTAGAATTAGTTTGCAAGCCTCTAAGAGGTAACTTTCCAGTCTTACAAATAATAGATAGAACCACACAGGCACAAAAATAAAAGACTGATTGGCACATTGATGGGGTTGGGGGAATCAGAGCAGGCGGAGAAAAGCATCTCTGGGCCGTTATATGAAGAGCTTAGACCTGCTTAAATGACAAAAACCAAAAAAATTTACAAGAGGAAATGTAGGGAGAAGCTATGTTACTGCTGAAGTCATTGCATATTTAAATAACTACAAAATCCTTTTGGTCTTTTACATTGTACCTTCAAGATGTTAAATTGTGCATACCCAGCCCAAACAAGGGCTGGTACATTCATACCCGGGTGGGTGTTTATTTTGTTAAGCTGCCAGGCACTTATAACATACGGTTTATTTCTCACAATAACTTGACACAGTAGGTGACTTCGTCCCCATTTTCCAGATGAGGAAGCTGAAGTTCAGAGAAGTTAAGGAACCTGTCTGTGGTCATACAGCTAGTCGTCGGCAGTGTTTAAACCCTGGCCTCCCTCACTACCAGACCATGCTCTTTCTGCCAGGCCTCATTACTCCTCACAATGGTACATAGTTTTAGAAAGTACTTTGATGATCTACAAAGGTGTTCATAGCCTTTGACCTAATAATTCTGTTTTTGCTTATCTACCGAGGGGATAATTCAGCATATGATAAAGGCCACCTGCCCAAAAATATTGATCACAATGGCTGATAACATTGAAAATCCATCAGCAACTTCAGTTGCCAATAAAAAGAAATGAATTAAATTATGACCATGTGCTCAAATATTGCTGCTGTTAAGATGTAGCAATAAGAAAAACACTTATGTGAAATTGCATATGTCATGTAGCTACAGCCAGGTATTTCATTATATAGATGAAAAAAATGTAAATTATGTCATAGTTATGATCTGGTAATGAGTGATTTTTTTGTTTGTTTCTACAATTAAAAAAATCTCTGTGGACACATAGGCAGTGGGAAGGAGATTTAAAGTATGGAACAAAGGTAGGATGCAGATGTGTTTCTATGATGATCACAACTATAGCATTTAAAATAAAACACTTAGCTTTTTTAAAGCAAACTTTTTATTGACGAGTATATAACATTGCACAGAAAAGTATCCAGATCATAAGAACACAGCTCAGTGAATTTTCACAAGTGAGCTCACCCCATTCACTGCCACTTGGACCAAGAAATAGGACATTACCAGCACCCTCTGTGTCCCAGCTTGGTGACCCCCAGCCTCGCATCTGTAGGCATAGATTTTAAATGGCACTGAAATAAACCAAAATATTAACAAATTCCATGTTAAGCTGGTTAGGACCATGAGTGATCTTTGTTTTCTGTTTTTCTCTCTGTTTTAATCCCTCTTCTCCATGATAATGAATTATACTATATTTTACTCTAACTTCCAATTATGACTTAATGTCCAACTATTAGGTCATAAATTGACTCTTGCATTTAGTCCCATAAAATTCCTCTTTCTGGAACTGACCTTTGCTATTTGAATTTGGGAATCTTTGTTCCTTGTGTAGTGGAATGAGAAATACAGGTTATCGATAGGAAGTGATTGTCTTTCCTACTTGTTCCAGATCTCTGTGGCACGGCAGCCCCTTGGGCACTAAGTGTAAATCTGTGTATTAGGACGCCCCTTTTAAACAGATGGAAGCAAACATCACAGTCTGTTTCCCTTTCTCTCTGTGTTCCACAATTCCCCTCCTCTGTCCAGAGGGTCTGGCCTGGGCCCCTCCCCAGAGTCAGGCCGCGCTACAGTGAGGAAAGCAAGAGTAGCAGCCTGCTTGAGGAAAGCCAGACACATCACCCATTTCTGCCACAGGGCTACAAAGTCTGATTGGACCATTACGATGATGTTAAGCTTTGGTGATGTCTACTCATAAAGGGGGCTGTTCCTCAATGTTACCACTTTGGAGAAACAGAAAGAAAGGTCACCTCCTGGGCGCCTGGGTGGCTCAGTTGGTTGGGCGACTGCCTTCGGCTTGGGTCATGATCCTGGAGTCCTGGGATCGAGTCCCACGTCGGGCTCCCTGCTCAGCGGGGAGTCTGCTTCTCCTTCTGACCCTCCTTCTCATGCTCTCTGTCTCTCATTCTCTCTCTCGCAAATAAATAAAATCTTAAAAAAAAAAAAAAAAGAAAGGTCACCTCCTAACCCAACAAGATGGACTCACCCAAGAGAAGACTTAATGCCTCCTGTTGCAGATTCTCTCCCTACTCTCAAGCGAGTTAGAAGGCTTGCATGGCTGAACACAAATCTGTTTCAGTCATCTAAAATAATTGAGATTATTGAGTACTTGAGATTCACAATATGTATTGCTATTTGATCAAATGACAGAAGAATAAGTGTGCTGTGTCTTACGATAGAGGCATTTTTTGGTTCCTAGCTCACAGGGGCCAAGTCATGGAACTTATGGCAGGGATCCCCAAGACCACCCCCAGAACAGGAATTCGCTAAGAGGATTCAAGACTCCATACATAGTTGTACTCGTGGCTGTGATTTATTACAGTGAAAGGACATAAAGCAAAATTAGCGAGAAAAGGTACATGAGGTAGAGTCCAGAGGAAACCAGTTGCCAGCTTTCAAGAGTCCTGTCCCCGTGGCATAGTCCAGGACACTCTGAATTCCTCCAGCGGTGAGCTTGGACAGTGCAGATGAAATGTTGTCCACCACGGGAGCCCAACAGAGACTCTGTACCCTGGGTTTGTATTAGAGGCTGGTCACATAGGCATCTCTGCCACAGGGACCAAAATTTAAGACTCTCAGAAGGAAGGCACAGTCTAGGCACGGTGAGCCCCCCTTATCAAGGAGGGGTGGGAACCTCCCCAAATCCAAGATCCTGATGCCAGCCTTGGGTACTCTTGCCAGTAGGCCTTTCTATGGATGGCAGCCTCAGGCCTGCTATGTTAACTGCTTTCTGCACAGAATCTGAGGCCAGTAGGGGCTTAGCGATACTCTGGCCCATCTTCAGTTTATGTGGGAGGAAATCGAGACCTAGAAATCTTGCGCAGGGTTCCAGAACTCTGCAGTGGTCCGCTAGGACAGAGTTCCGGGATTCTTATTCCAAGGCCAGGACTTTTGTGACTGTGTTTTGTAGGGGACCATTATGGCCAGATTGATCAAGTTCGTTATGTTTTATAATGTTCTGAAGTCACAGGTAACAGTAAAACTTATTAAACGCTCTGATTACAGAATTGAGTTTTCGGTGCCATGGAGCTATCGAAACTGAGGACCCATCCATTTTATATATAATTATATTTATATGGTGACTCGACCCATTGACACATAAAATCTAGAAGCCCACTCTGTGTGCTTTAGAAGCACATCAGGGTCCAGAATTTATATGAACAGAGCAGTAACAGTTTTGTAAACAGAAGAAAGACAAGAAGGAAATGCAACCCTCATTAACAGTTGATGGCCTCTGGATTATCAATAATGGATGAATCTTCTTTCTGCGTTTTCCCCTAAATTTCTTCTGATGAGAATGTAGTATTTTTAAGTGGAAAAAGTACCTTTAAAAAAGAAGCTTTCAAAGAGATGTGTTTGCGTTAATCTTCAGTCACAGCTGTTGCTCGTCAGCACCGTCCAACTACAGAACAGCCCCCCGCCCCCCAAGAATGTGGAAATTTTTAATGGAATTATAAGCGTGCTGTAGTTGAAGTGACTCAGCATTTCCAACTCCAGTAGTTTATCCCTTCTATAGACTCCCTTCTATGCACGGGGATGGCATGGTGGCAGCGTTCCCTGGGGGAAGGGGATGGGTACAGGCCAAATGCCCAGGATTGGACCCTGATTGTTACAGTACATGCATGTATTCGAATTTCTTGCAACCACAAGAAAACCACAACTTTCTCATAGGAAAGACAATTATTTTATACCACTGTTTATGCTGTTTGAGTTTTTCACAAGGTGCTACTCTTAAAAGTATACATAGTGGGGCACCTGGCTCAGTTGGTTAAGCATCTGACTTTTGATCTCAGCTCAGGTCTTGAGCTCAGGGTCATGAGTTCAAGCCCTGTGTGGGGCTTCACGCTGGGCGTGGAGTCTACTTAAAAAAAAAAAAAAAGTATACCTATTATTTGTAAAAATGTTAACGGTCTTAAATGACTTTGACAAAACAGAACTAACTCAGTAGGGGGTAATGGTACATGGGCGAACTTTTATACAAGTCGGCAATAAAGAACTTACACTCATTGTAAAATTACCCATCTATCAGAACTAAAGTTGGATTAGGAATCTAAAAAGTGAGTATGTCAGAGAATGTTAAATTTCTTGGGTATGATGATGGTAGTGTGGTTACACAGGGAAATGTCCTAATTCTTAGGAGATGGGGACTGAAATGTTCAGGATCGAAGGGTCATGATGTCTGCAGCTTACCTTCATAATGTTCAGCGGGAAAGCTGTGTGCACGCGCGTGTGTGTTGACAGAGGGAAAGAGCAAAGCCTCAGAACGTCAGCAATTGTTGAATCCAGAAGAAGGGTGTACAGATGGATTATTAGTCTCTTAACTTTCCTATAGTGTTTAGAATTTTCTAAATAGAAAGTTTGTGGAAATGAAAAGATTTTTAAATCAAGGAGCTAAAGACTCCTGAAGAACAAAGCAGTCGCCAAGTAGTTACTCAGAAATCAGTTACAAAAATCAGTCTTTATCTTGGCACCTGTTCAGCCAGCCAGCTAAACAGGGTCAGGTAGCTTTTCGGCTGCAGGTCATTGACACATTGAACTCCACAGACCTTGGTACAGAGTGCTAGTTAGCTGAGCTGTTTCAGAACCTGCAAGTCCTGAGCAGCAACCTCTCCCTTAAAAGATGCACTTAAGAAGGTACATCCTTTCTCTTCTCTTTACTCTCCAGTTCCGAGGGGAATCCGTGCAATAGTTCCTTGCCGCGTGATGGCAGAACAGCCAGCCTGATTGGCCAGGAAGTGATTCTTGTCTTCTTCCTCCTGCTCTTGTTGGTCTGGTTCCTGAATCGAGAATTTGAGGTCAGCTACCGCCTGCACTACCACGGGGATGTGGAGGCGGACCTTCACCGCACCAAGATCCAGAGCATGAGGGACCAAGCCGACTGGCTGCTGAGAAACATCATCCCCTACCACGTGGCTGAGCAGCTGAAGGTCTCCCAGACCTACTCCAAGAACCACGACAGCGGAGGCGTCATTTTCGCCAGCATCGTCAACTTCAGTGAGTTCTACGAGGAGAACTATGAGGGGGGCAAGGAATGCTACCGGGTCCTCAACGAGCTCATCGGGGACTTCGACGAGCTCCTGAGCAGGCCAGGCTACAGTAGCATCGAGAAGATCAAGACCATCGGGGCCACGTACATGGCTGCATCGGGGCTGAACGGCGTCCAGTGCCAGGATGGCAGCCACCCGCAGGAGCACCTGCAGGTCCTGTTTGAGTTCGCCAAGGAGATGATGCGCGTGGTGGACGACTTCAACAGCAACATGCTGTGGTTCAACTTTAAACTCAGGGTCGGCTTTAACCATGGGCCGCTCACGGCGGGGGTCATCGGCACCACCAAGCTGCTGTATGACATCTGGGGCGACACTGTCAACATTGCCAGCAGGATGGACAGCACGGGGGTGGAGTGCCGCATCCAGGTGAGCGAGGAGAGCTACCGCGTCCTGAGCAAGATGGGCTACGACTTCGACTACCGGGGGACAGTGAACGTGAAGGGCAAGGGCCAGATGAAGACCTACCTATACCCAAAGTGCATGGACAGTGGGGCTGTACCACAGCACCAGCTGTCCATCTCCCCGGACATCCGAGTCCAGGTGGACGGCAGCATCGGGCGGTCTCCCACGGACGAGATCGCCAACCTGGTGCCTTCTGTACAGAACGCGGACAAGGCGTCTCTGGGTTCCGAAAACAGCGTGCAGGCCAAGGACACTCACCTGTCCTTGAAGAGGCTATGGAAAGAGCCCCTCAAGGCTGAAGAAAGGTGTCGATTTGGCAAAGCCATAGAGAAAAGTGACTGTGAAGAAGTGGGCATGGAAGAAGCCAGTGAGCTCACCAGGCTCAATGTTTCCAAGAGCGTGTGACGCAGCGCCCGTCGCTGCCACGGTGCTCTGCTCCTCGAAACACAATCATGTTTGTACTTGCCTGTTGTGCGTCCCGAGCACCACAGCCTCCATCGCTGGATGTGGCGCTGCGTGGTCATTGCCCTGACGTCTTTGTGCGCCACACACATCCGTCTCTTTGCTTTTTGTCCCCCGGAGCCCTGTCCCCTGGGTGTGAGTGTCAGCAGCATGGAGAACAAGTGCCTTCAGGGGTGGCCCGGCCTCGCGTTTGGGAACATAGGCCGCCTGTGGAGATCGCGGCATTGGGTATTGCTGGACTTTTTAAACGAAGCTGTGGTTAAGATATCATTTTTATTGCTTTTTCTCACAAGACACTTTGGGTTTTTGTTTTGTTTTTGCTCGTACAATGTTTTTGCAGGTTTTTTCTTTTCTGTATACATACTAGTGTTTTCCGGTGACCTGACCTTTCTATGTAAACACATACACGCACACACACTTTCATTTATGAATCTGAGATCAAGTGCCAGTAACTCACTGTGAGGGGAGGTGGGGGGGGGCGTGGGCTGCGAACAGCCCCCAGACAGGGTGGCCCGCGCCCTCCCAACCTGCACCTTCCAGAGCACCCAGGCCCTCAGGGGCTGTGGGGCATTAGGGCTTCCTCCCTGTGCAGGCCAAGATTGCAAATGCTAACCAGTAGCAGAGCTTGTGAACCCAGGCCTCAGGTATTTAAAAGCCGTGTTTCATTCTGCCCCAGACACCAAGGGGTCTTCCAGCTGGGAGCGAAGGGATTTGTCTTTGAAACTGAATCCTCTGAGAGGGAAACTCAAAATAAACGTCTGAGGGTTGCATTTATTTATTTATTTATTTATCAGGAAATGTGTGTTTTGGTGGAGGGGCGGCCAGGTCATTCTGGTGAAGGGACATAGGCTGGGTTGGGGGGAGGGGGTCTAGTAGGGGGGACACAGAAGGATGTGAAGATGTCCATTAGTGCTTTGGCCACTCTGGGCCACCCAGGGGCTCCCCACACAGGCTGAGCAAGACCTGACCGGGCCTGGCCAGCACTCCCTGGGATGGAGATGCTCTCAGCCACTAATGGGCACTGCCACTTCTGTCCCGAGGGCTGCAGATCCATGCCCTTGGGGCCCTCCTGCTGCAGAGCCCTGCCCCGCGTGAGGCAGGAGGCCTGAGCCGAGCACAGCGGTGGGCAGGCAGTGCCAGTGGGCTTGGCTTGCACATATCTGAGAAATTTCTCATCCTTTCCCATTCTTGGCTTGTGCAGGGCCTGTATGTGGCAGGCTTGAACCCGGTGAATCCCAGCCCTCTTTAGATGGAGTTCTCATGCTGTGTGTAGGGACAGAATCATCCGCATGCACACGAGGTGTTGAGCTAGGGCAAGGAGAGGAAACCTAAGGAAAATCACTTCTGGGCCCTTTGTTGCTGATCCTGCCTGTGATGATGTTTTGCCACGTTGAGTCTGGAGCGTATGTAGAGTTGAACTGAGGCTCGTGTTGCCCTGTCATCAGCATAGTTACTTTCAAGGTGACTCTAGCGTATGGTTCACAGGATAGTTTGAGGACTAGCTCCTTCTCTGTTTAAGGTCTTCATTGGCATTTGCTGTGCATTTTCTTTTCGCTGCTAAATCTCTGTATAGACTATCACATCTACATCAAGTCCCATTATCAGTCCCCCCCTCCCAGAATTCATCGAGAATCTGCCATTTCTGGCATCAGGAAATACTGATTCTGATGGGTCAGCTCCCCAGGGGGGACACGCGTGGGGTGGCCTCCCAGCAATGCAGCCATAGCCAGGATCTTGACGTCCCAGGGAGTCGAGAGCATTCTCGGTAACTAAGATCTTCCTTCAGGTTTTACTGTCAGTTTGTTGGTCTTCCAATGCTGGAGGAAGGATGGTGTGACAATACCTCTTGCTTCTAAAGAATGTATTCTTATAAGATACTGCAGAATTTTTATTTTTATTTTTATTTTAAAACACTACCCGACACTGTCCTTGTCCATAGGGACTGTGGGTGTGTTAGGGACTCCTCCCATCAGTGTTGAGGCATGTATTTGAGTGTGGTCCTCTCCTTATGCCTTCTGTCCTCAGGCTCTGTAGCTCTGGCAGCAGCTAAGGGGCTGGGTGTTTGCCGACGGGTCGCCTGCGTCTCCGCTGTTCCACTCAGAACATGTCCTACAAGGTTCGTCTCTGCACATGCTTCCTCCCCAGCACATTCTCTTTTCCCTTCCCCTCCTGCAAAGGTGTTTGTGATTCCTGACCATGGGAAGCCGCAGACCGCAGGGAGAGGGTCTTAACATCTGGCGATCTGGTCCAGCAGCGTGTGCATTGGAGCCTTTGATGGTTGGCTCATCCAGAGTCTCAAATTGTCTTTTAAAAAAACACCCCGAGCCTTCCTAAATCACCAGTAGAGATGTTCTTTCTGGGCCACCAGGCGACTTGGGTCCTTCCCAGTTCCCTGCCCTGAAGCATACCTCAACGCAGGAGCACAGAATCTCTGCAACAGAAACGCCGTGTATCCAGCTCCATTGGCGTTGAACAGAGAATCACTGAGGACAGGCCCCTGAGCAGCGGTTCAAGTGCTACCAATATGATGGATGTGCTCTTCACAGAGGCAATACCTCTTACGAACTTAGGTCAGGAAGCAATACTTCAGAATTGAATGTGTGTAAATAGTCGCTTTGAGTTGCAATTGCCGTTTTCTTCTTGGCCCCAAGTCAGATCGAATTATACACACACACACACACACACACAATATGTATATGTGTGTGTGTGTGTGTATATATATATATGTATATGCATATATATATATATATAAACAAGCACACCTAATTTTATCCAGTGCAAACAAATGTAGAGCATCAGTTATGAGGCCCTTAAGTAGCTTGAAGAGTCACATCGATTATGCAACACCTGCACGCGACTCCATTAACCCTGACTCCACTCTTGGAGGCAGCACCTGCACATTTGCACACGACACTGAGAGCCAGAGGGCCACGTGCTTCCCGCTACGTGGACTGTAATAATGTGTAGTTTCCAAAGATCTGTCTGCGTTTGCATTTCTAGATTTTTGAGGTAAGCGTTTTTTCACTGGTTGTTTCAGAAAATCACATCATGCCTAGAACCTGAAATTAAATTAACAAGAACCAACTGTTTGCATTTTCCATCTTTCCTTCACTCTGCTCTTTTTAAATTGTTAACTCTAATTATTTCAGAATGCATCCACTCAAGAAATGGATATTAAAATATTCTAAAATCTAAATATTTGATGCCTGGTATTTCCTCATTGAAAAGATCAGTTAACACTTCAAAAATCAGGGCACTCCTTATTCCCTGCGATTTGTGGCTAAAATAAGATTTGCTTTTCTTTCACATCATGACTTTGAAAACAAGACAGCTAAAAAAAAACAACAAAACAACCCTATTTATGTATGTGGTTTCTTTCTTTTTGTTTAATGGACATATTTGCTACAGTTAACTTCGACTGAAAAATATTTTTATGTGGAAACTAAAAAAAATAAAGCAGGTTATAGGACAAGTTTGGCTTGCAACGATATCCCTATTTTATTAGGCCTTCTAAATCGTTTTTCCTGCAAGATCATAGGAGAAGGAATTGACTGAGAAAATGAAGTAGGTTTTCTGAAAAGACACACCCACACAGCCTGTTCCTGGGGGTGTCTACATCAGGGGAAGTCACAGACCCATCTCAGAATCCATTTAAAGTCACAGTCATTCTTCCCAAAAACACATACATGCGATTTGTAAGTATCTCAGAGGTTCACAACACCTCCAGGTCCGAAGCAAAACCATAGATCTGTTGGGGTGTAGAGCCTTTTCCCCTACGAAGTCTTTCCTGGTGACTACAGTATTTATCAGCAACTTCAGAGCACAGGATCCTCTTGTAGATGCAGCAGAGGGAGGTGAAGATGTGGTCCCCCAGTCCTTGTTCATCATCTCACAGGGATCAAGCTTCTAGGTGGTTCTCTGCTAGAACCTGGTGCTTATGAGGGCACTATGGGTTATGTGGGCATCTTTCCCTCCTGAGCCCTAGGAAACTTTCTGGAGGTCAGGGAGTCGTGGTCTGTGCTACACCAGAGGTCATGTGAGAGCGTGGGTCTCTCTACTCGAAGGGGTGCCCCGGGGACTTTTGAGGACTTGGCAGTCACGAAAGACGGCCCCTAATTTTTTGCAGTAAGCCTCAGAACTTAGCCTTTGTGGTTTCTCTCTTGCATGTGGTTGCTTTTCTTTGCTGTGGGGAATCTCCTTGTGGCCACCTGGAATAGATCCCAGGTGCCAGGAAAAGGAAGCTAACTGGGGAAGAGATAAGTAAAAGGAAGTGATTAAGAAAAGTACACACTTGCACACCCTATACGTGTAAATTAAAAATCTTCTCAAGTGTCTATTTTTATACAGTTCCTATGTGAAAATTGTTTTTTTTTTTAATTATGTGACTCCAAAGAGTTGTCACAATATATTAGAGTAACGTCAGTTTGGGGAATTCTCCCTGTTCCCTTTGGGCCCAGATGCCAGAAGGAGAAGCAAATTAAGTGGTTGTGTATCAGGAGCCAAGGGCCTCCTGAAATCTCAGTCATCGAAAGCAGTGACCTTAACCTTTCTTGGCTCACAGAGCCTGTGATAATCTGATGACAGTTGTGGCTCTTTTCTCCAGAAACACACACACACACACACACACACACCCTTTTAATGTTGCATATAATTTCATGAGTCCCCAGATTCAAATAAAGTACCCCCGATCTGCAACAACTAAGGAATGATGAGTTTTTATTATAACTATCTGCTGGTGAGGTTTCCAAGCATTTCTGGACTGCATTGGAAATTCGGTTCCCCATGTTAATGCTGCTTTGTTTGCATATGCATTCCCAAGCAAATGATATTTTCGTGTTTTATGTTTGGATTCGCTAAATATATTCAAGGAGCCACTCAAAGGACTTAACAGTTTCACAAAGTTAGTCAAATTCTTCCCAACAGATAAGGAACACTCAGCCGGCTGAGTACCTACGACGTGCCAAATAATGCCAAACCTCCCTTTATTTGGGCTGTTGAAGTTGTCATGAGGCTTGAGAGTATTCGAGCAACAGCCGTGATCAGAGATGCTGCTTTTCCTATTGCTTTCCTGCTGCGAATTCTTCAGTAGGTGGAAGGGTGGTTCCAGGTATCTAGGTTGGCACGCGACGTCCTTTCCTTATGGATGTGTTTACACAGTGGCTTCTCAGTGTCATCTGTAAACAAAGAGATGATTTTTGTATTCATGATCTTAAAGAGTATTCAGTCTTTGAGGAAAGAACAACGCAAGAGAAGCAGAGAAAACAACTTGTACCCGTATTGTGTTGGTCCCTCATGGGGAGAGCAGGCCACTCCACATACAACTCGTGAAATCATCTGTTTCCATTGTTAAAACCAACCTCCAGATGGTAGTTGGGGCCACAGCATGAGGGTCTCAGAACAAGGCACTGGCTTGGACTGATTTGGCTGGTGGGAGCCTTTCCAGAAGAGCACCACCCAGTAAAGCGTCTCCCTGCCCTCCCAGAAAGAAGCACCAGTGGCCGGGAGGGGTGGGGGCTGTGAGCAGAGGTCTCTGCCAGTCCTGTCTCCGCCCATCTCTGCCCTGGGCCCTGTCACCAGGCAGGCAGCAGCTTCTGGCAGGGGGCAATCTTCTGAACAAATTGATTTTTTTGCTCTTCTCAGCAAACAAAATTCTTGCCACATAGGTTGGAAGGGCAGTGGACGGTG